AAAAAAAGGCTCTCAATGTTCAGAGACCTGCCCCTCTTCTTGGGGTCTTCCATAGTTCTCCAGAGTCTTCTATCTTGGCAAAAACTAACATTTAATCTCTTACTTTACAAAATTAGTAAGTTTTAGTCCCTCATTTTATAATATGGCAATTTTAGTTTTTTATTTTACAAAGTCAGTAAGTTTTAGTTCCTCACTTTGCAAAGTTGATAAGTTTTAACCCTGACCTTATATTATGATACTTTTAGCCTCTCATCGATATGAATTAAAGAAAATAACTATCACCTAACAACAGGTTATAACATTATGTTAGTTGATTATTGACATCCGTTAGCATTCTGTTATAACAAACATAAAATTTAAATTTAATTTTATTTGTTAATTCCATTAACGGAATGCTAATAAATGTTAATAGTCAACTAATAGAACTAACAGTCAGTTAACAAAACTGACAGTCAACTAACAGAACTGACAGTCAGCTAACAGAACTAACAGAACTAACAGAACATTATAAAATGATGTTAAATAAGAGTTATTTTTTTCAATTTGTATAGATAAGAGATTAAAAATGTCATAATATAAAATAAAAGATTAAAATTTATCAATTTTATAAAATAAAAAATTAAAACTTATCAATTTTATGGGATAAATTATTAAAAATATCATATTATAAATTTAAAAACTAAAACTTATCAATTTTATAAAATAAATAATTAAAAGTTTGTTTTAGCCGCCTTGTAAGGATCTCTCGTTGGCCATAATCAATGTACCTCCTTTACCATGGTCAAACGGTCCGAGTTTGCTATTGGTTCAGGTGGGGCCGGAACAGAAAAACAGGTGGCCACGTGGCTGTTGATTAACTCAATCAATAATGGAGCTGACACATTTAGGCGTGTTTGCTATGCGTACACTTGGCAAGATAGCGCAAACATTTAGACAAGTTCCACGATGTTACTTTCAGCACCTGATAATTCCACCTCACCTGATAATTCCACCTCACCTGAAACGGAAAAACAGACCCCTTGACTATTAATCTTCGAGAATTACAGAGCATATCAGATCACCGGAAACGAAAGAGATGACCATGGGGACATCGACGGCGCAAGCTTACGGGGAGCCGCAGTACTGGGACGACCGCTACGCCAACGAATCAGCACCCTTTGATTGGTATCAGAAGTACCCTTCCTT